CTTTAGGTCAGCAGCAGTGCTGGATGAAGTACCCCCTGTTGCTGCCGAGGGGCTCTGCTCCCTAATGGGGAGAGCTATTTTATCTGCTGCAATCTGGGTCAGGCGGCGCGTTGGCGCCTTGTTTTGGCATCCCCATTTGTCATCTGGACGAGCGCGTTGCCTACAGGAGAGAAGCAGGGTTTGGGGTTGAAGGGCTGTAGAAGTATCTAGAAGTAGTGTGGTTTTAGCTTGTGTACAGAAGCGAGAGGGGTTTGGGTCGATCCAAAGATGAGCTTCTCCTCCCAGCGTCTCGGCTCGGCCAGGGATCGGCGGGGCCCGCCGTTCCGCTGGGCTGATGGGCTCTTTGGTCGTGAGCCGGTTGGGTGGACCGCCCGGGATGCGCGTCAAAGTGTTGGGGTCCCGAGCATCCCATCCCTCAGGACGCTGTATGACCAGAGACAGGGGTTTGCAAGGCTCCCTGTATTCCTCAAAGTCTTGGCGTGCCATTTCTCTCTCCAGACTGGTGCCAGGACACTCGTGCCATGCCTCGGTGTGAGATTTCCCATGCCACAGGGTGGATTATCAGCCGACGCTCCTTGCGCTCGGCCACGTCAGCAGCACAGGACATGGGTGCGATGCGGACAGGGAAAGGGAGGCAGGGAGGAAGGCAGCGGGTGTCTTATCGTGTCCCACGTGTAGGAGAAGCGCTGCCAGGGTGCTGGATGGGGCCGGGCAGGAGCCCGTTGCGAGAGCGACACCAGGGGTCTGAGCTAATAGGTCCGGGGGGGAGGGAGACGGTCACCGCGTGGTGCTGAACACAGCGAGCGTGCCGGTGGAGTTATCTATATTGTTGACACTAAGTGAAAAAAGTCCTTGGCCAACCTCAAAATTTGCATGTAAGGATGAGGAATAGGGGCAATTAGAGGGGCAGCAGAGCAGCGCTGCCGCCTCCGGCTCCCTCCCTCGAGTGTCTTTTTGCACTGCCGTGTCCAGGTTGATTGCCTGAGAGGAGACTTCTCTCAGAGTGAGCGATGGGGGTCCGGAGCTCGGGGCAAGCCCACCCTTCGAGGCTCCCCGGCATGCTGCTCTGGCCGAGAGTGGTGGCGGTGGGGGGCAGGCCAAGGGCTGTGGATGGTGAAACATCTCTGTGTGCAGGCTGCCAGGTTCTAAAAGGGATGCAGATGTGCAGGAGCAGAGGGGTTGGGTTGTGTTGCAGCAAGAAGGACCCTGAGGGGCAGCCAGGATGAGGTGGGTGCAGGGGGCTTAGGTTGGGATGAACAGTATCGGTCCCGGGAGCGGCCCCCCACCCCACCCATGGGCTTTTTTATGGGTGAACTGTGGAAGCCGGATGGGGTTATCTGCTGCCTGTTTGGCAGGTGCTTTATGGTCTCATGTCCCTCTTGGACTGGTAGGGCAGGGTTTGGTCTGGAGATGGATACGGCACCTTGAGAAGACTGGTCCTGGTGCGTCATCTTTGTCCTTGTTCCTAATTAGATCCCTTTGAGGGAACACCTCCTGGCCTGTGTTGTTATGCAGCTTTGTCAGAGCTTGTCCGCTTTATCTAAACACTTTGCACAAGTCTCTTTACCTGTTTGCTTACTGGAGACATTATCCTAATCCTGGTCAAATGGGAAGAGGTAGGAGAGACGATGCGGCAGGTGAGGGAGCGCTGGTACAGTAGCGGCTACGGGAGGTGGCTTTCCTGGGCTGGTAACAAAGCCGGTATGGCATCGTCACATGGAGGTGTTGGTCGATATTTTGCCTCGGAAGCCCAGGGCGAGGGGAAACTCACGGTGGGAAAGCAAGATTCGGCAAGAAGGCGCCTCCGGAAACGGCCCACAGCGGCACGGGCTCCTTGTCCCCGTCGCTCCGAACCTAAGTTGCCGCGCGTCAGCCCTAATGAGGGGAGCCGAGTGGACCTCGTGGGGCCATAGTCTGGGTATTTATACGAGCGCAGACATGCAAGTTGTCTGTTTTACATATCGCTGCCCTGATTTCACAGTGCACGCAATGAATAATTTACAGAGGCGCCGTGTAAGTATCTCTTTATTATTCATTATAATGAAGTGAGACAGCGGTAATAGTCCACTAGACTGGAATCCCCCGGGGCCGAACTTCACTCCGCCGCACCTACCTCTCCCCCAGTTCACTGGAATGAAGCGAGGGCTCGGCTTCCCGACAAGGACGCCGCCACCCCCCGGCATGAGGCCGCCTCGATCGGGTGCAGCGGAGCCAGCACCACTGCCGGCACCGGGGCTCTTGGCGTGCCAGTGGCGCCGTGGCAGGAGCGGAGGGCCATCTGTCTTTCCTGGTGTCTGTACGCCATGCGTCTGGTGGAGATGTATAACTCCTGCAAGGGGAAAATGACTGGTATGTTGGAGAATATACGGCCGGTTCCTCGGAACCAAGCGCCCGGGGGAACCCTCCAGCACACCAACCATCGGCCCTTCCCCCTGCCCGATTAATAATTGCGATTGAGGTGTTGCTGTGCGATCCCAGCAAGGGAGGAATATATCACCCCGAAGCAGGAGAGGTGCCGTGGCAGGGAAGAGGAGAGGGACAGCCTGCCAGCCTGTCTGTGAATGTAGAGGCTTGCAGAAAGCGTCTTGCGTGAGTGTCTCGATGGACCGTAGGTGCCTTGTCCCTAAGATCTTGGCCGTGCCAAGCTGCCGGAGCGATGCCGGCAGCAGCAAGAGCTAGCCTCTAGCTTCCCTTCCCTGCTTTGGTTTAATGCAGAGAGAAAGATCCCTGACTGAGGTCCTTGGAAGGTGAAGGCAAAGCTCCTGAGAAATTCTGGTCTCCCAATGGGGCCAAATGATGGTGGGATTGGCTGCGGGTGGTGTGGCGGCAGCGAAGGCCAGATGGAAGTAGATGGAGAGAAATCTGTTAAATGGCACGAAAAAGCCCTGGTCTCTGGGAACATTGTATTTCCCTTCCTCCCTCCCAGCCCCACTGTGGTCTTAAGTCAGAGCTGTGGAGCGGAGCTCCCGAGCCTCGGCTCATCCCGGAGTGGGGAGAGCGGGAGCCAGGCAGGAAGTAAAGGATGGCCATAACTGTGCTGTGTTCTGAAGGGACCTGTAGGATTTACAGCTGCCTATCCCAATGTTCCCTTCTCTTCCCGGTGTGCCGGCTGTGCTGTCTCCGTCCGTTTCTCTTCCACCGTTCTCCCCCTGCCTGTGCCGCAGCCCCTTGTCCCCGGCAGCGGGCGTGTAGATCGCCCCGGGGCCGGCCGGAGGGCCATGCCGACAAGCTGAGCTGTCAGCAAATCTTACAGCTTCATCTGCAATCGAGCACATGCTGAAAGGGCGAGGGGGAAGGTGTGCGCAGCCTGCAGAGGTTGAACGTAGTGGGGTTTTTGTTTGCTGCCCCATGTAGGTGACCCTCTGGTTTTTTTTTTTTATTTTGCAGGTGTACCGTGGATGACCGGGTGACGCGGGTGGCGTGGTTGAACCGCAGCACCATCCTGTATGCCGGCAACGACAAGTGGTCGATAGACAACCGCGTGGTCATCCTGTCCAACACCAAGACCCAGTACAGCATCAAGATCCACAACGTGGACATCTACGACGAGGGCCCCTACACCTGCTCGGTGCAGACAGACAATCACCCCAAGACTTCACGCGTCCATCTCATCGTGCAAGGTAGGTCTTTGCATGCGGCGTGCTAATGCTGAACAGACCTGTAGATGGACCAAAGGCTGGCTGTATGTAGGAAGGGTTGGGAGGCCCTCTTGGTGATGAATGTGTAGGGATCAGATGAACAGCTGTCGCTTGGGGCTGTGACCGGGGTGGGCACAGAGGAGCGGACGACGCCTTGCCACACCAGGGAGGAGATGCACCTGAGTCCTCTTGGCCTTGCTGTGTTGTATGGTCCTAGCACGGGCCCGAGGACAACTGAGAACTGGAAGCCCATGTCCTCTTCCTCCTGCTCCTTTGCCTGTCTTAGATTTGAAAGGGAGCCATCCTTGCCTCATGGGACCCACCTGGGTCAGGTGGCCACACGGGGGAATTGCTCATAAGGTGCCAGGGCAAGATTCTGAAGATGCTTTGGGAGAGCTGGCAGCAGAGTGCCGCTCAGCACGGCGGTGCAGGGACCTCCGACAACGTGAGAGGTCACCATCCGGCAGAGAGGGCGGAGCACTCAAGCGTGTCAGAGCCGCCATGGGGCCCAGAAGGGTGCGTAGGGTTTTGCAGGCGTGCGTGTCGGCGTTGCGGATGCCGTCGGGTCGCTGAGCGGTCTTCCTGCGGCTGTGTCAAGGGGGGGGCAAAAAACAGAGATGCCGGTAGCGCACCGGGGCAATCCGCCTCCGGAATCTCGCCGCTTGGCACCGGCCACCGGCTTTTGTCCTGTCTCTAGATTAATTTTTCAGCGTTAGTGTTCGTTCAGGTGAGATAAAGATAATGAAAGTTTCCTAATCCTCCTAAAGAAGATTTATTGGGCCGAGTAGAAAGCTCTCGGACTACAATGAAGCGTGTATAAAACCAGGACCTAATCTTTCCTTTAATTTTGTGCGGCCGATGGGTATTGATTTTGCAATGAGCCCATCTGAGCAATTTCTCGGCCCTGACACGTCTCCGACACAAATCTGTGTGTATTCATGTATGCTTCTCCTTTGGAGGAGGCAGGCCGGGATCGCGGCCACCCATCTGAGGGACGCTCCCGCCTGGTCTCGACCAGAGCGTGTCGCGGGGCCCCTCACCGGGCACCGCTCGGCCGGGGAAGAGGAGCGCGGCGGACCGCAGGGAGCATCCCCTCCATCGCCTTGTGCGGGGCTTCTCCCTCTGCCCCTTTTTGAGGTGTGTAGCAGCTGTCTGTAGGTGGAGTTTCAGGTATTTATCCTGAGAGCTCTGTAATGTGCTAATCCATTCCGTCAACACCGGTGAGGTATCCGAGCTTGTCGCACCTCCTGGAATGAGGCAGTCTGGCCGTGGTGCTCTACGCCCACTCCCCTCCCTCCTTTTTCGGAGCAGGGCCGCGACGCAGGCCCTCAGCAGGACCGGGCAGGCGAAGGTGTGCGAACGGTAGTTAAGGTGCCTGAGGGCAAGAGAAGATCCAGGTTCCTACCAGGGCGCTTCATGTGGACCATTACTTGTCCTGGGAGGAGCAAGGGGTTTTCTGAAGATGTGTTCAGTCCCGCACATGTGAGCGGAGCGTGTGAGTGGCAGGGCAGGAGCGAAGCCCTGTTTTGGGTGTAGCTCTCCTGGCCCGAAGCATGGGCTCAAAAGGGAGCTCGTGGACCCTCTGGCCACGAGGAGGCAGCCCTCAGGGCAGCGGCGGCAGGGGGACG